GGGGGGGGGGGGGGGGGGGGGGGAGCTTATAAGCGACAGTTTATGGTGAAAACATATTGATAGTTAATAAGAAGGCTTCTCCATGGCTATAATGAAAGATGCTTTTCTTTGACGATCTCCACGGTTCACAACCGTCGAAATCTGAGAGAAACTTCTGGGTTTTACGGTTCATGTTCTTCGACAGCAATCTCGATCCTCATCTTGAACCTGGTCTAATTTCATTTCGATATCATGGTCGGCGTATTCTTCTAATTCTCGTTTGACACAAATTAGAAAAAATGGGATGATGGACTCAATGATTCCAAATCCACTCGCTATCAGTTAAAAACGCGCCGATGTAGTTACCGAGCTTGTCAGCCATAAGCCCTGAAAAAACAAGAAGAGGGAAGCGACATCAAAATTTCAACTCTAACTAAGTCAGGGAAAGGCGGACATGAGATTGAAAGAAATGAAAGGGGTACTATCATGAGGCGCGGTGACCTCATGGTTAGTGAGCTCTCCCCCGGATCGAGCAGTCCGGGTTCAAGCCCTAGCTGGGGACATTGTGTTGTGTTCTTGGGCAAGACACTTTACTCTCACAGTGTCTCTATCCACCCAGGTGTATAAATGGGCAAAGGGAAATTTAATGCTGGGGGTAACCCTGCGATGGACTAGCACCCCATCCAGAGGGGAAGAAGAAATACTCCAAGTCGCTTCATGCTACTGAAACCGGACAATGAGAAGGGGCCGGCCTAAGTATGGACCACTTGGCTGTTATAAAGACTTTGGTCCTCTTACTCACGTATTTTGACAACTTAAGCGACAACATTTCATGACATATGAGTCATATAACGCAACCACCGTAAGAGGGTTTTCAATTTTACCGGAAGTAAGCCTCAGATTTTAAGCCCAAAGACGAATTTTCGTTTGCTTGTCGGCCCAGAAGTCTCAAAGTAAGCTAAATGCAGGTCAAATAACACTTTGGGCTCTGGTTTTCGAAATTATTTTAATGCTTAATAAATGATAAAAATTAGCATTTTGCATTTCTCTCCCGATTCCCGTCCTCTTTGGACACCCGGTTCCTGCCCTTCGGCTCTCCCGCCTTCCGCCCCCTATTCTCCCGGGCTCCCGCCCCACTGTTCCCCCATATATACTATGCGAGGGACTGTTAAAGTGCATCACACTTACCAATTAAAGGTGGAGCGCTCAAAAGAAAGCCAGCACCAGCCAAAATGATGAATCCAACTATTGAGACTCTTCGATTCCTCATCAACAACCTCCAAGCATTCGACCATAAAAGTTGACATCAACATCCCGTCCACCATACTGAACTTCTGATATGTTTAAATTTCTCTGGCGTAGTGAGGACGAGGTCTGCGTATAGTTGTTTATCAAGTATTACAAATCAAACCGAAGGTTAAAATTGCTAAAATTACGCACTGATCGGTAAACATGCATTGAGTATCAGATAAGATCAAAATCTCCGGTGATATCACAAATTGTTCCTGCGGTCAGACTGGTTGGTGGTTTCCACTGGAATGCTAGCAGCCTCGTATCAAGAGTCTTCATTCCCCTTGACCAGCGGTTGGGAAACGAGCGACCCTGGAGAGATCCGATTTGAAGTCCGAAAATATCGGACTTCCGGTTGAATTGTGCCTAGCTCATAAACACGGGGCTCAATCGAGTCACTTGTGTTTTTCTTTAGCATGCTAGGGCGCCTGTGTTTTTCTGCTCTTGTTTCATGCGCAAAAAACAAAAAAACAAAAAACAAAAACAAAAACAAAAACAAAAACAAAAACAAAAACAAAAACAAAAACAAAAACAAAAACAAAAACAAAAACAAAAACAAAAACAAAAACAAAAACAAAACCAAGAGCTAAAAAAATGAATGCTCTCGCAGGCTAGTTTTTCTTCCAATCATTTTCATTGTTTTTAAAGCCAATGAAACTTAAGGCTTCGATGGAACTAGATATTCTTCGCTGTGGATACTCTAGACAACTTGTTCATTCTATATTCTTCACCATCGGTATACCTACATTGGTTACATGAGCTGGAAGTCCGTTCCTCTCTTTTTGCTTAATTTTCTCTAATTTCCCTCGACAAAGGAAAATAACCCTAGTTTCGACCTCGCCTTGTTGCAACTTGAAAAGAAAATATCGCCTAGACTTTGCATTTCACGGAATCTTTGCATCGGAAACTTCCATCGAAAATGTCATGAACGTGTCCATGTACGTCCTTATAAGCAGAACCTGAAAATGCCAAAACTCGTTTCTGTTTATCTCATTTGATAAAGAGAGAATGATTAATGATTTCATTCAGACAGTATTGCCTTGATTTTTTAATACTTTCAATTTTCACTTTTCACCTACATTTACTGCGAACTATTTCTTGGTGAACTAGAAACAAAACCAATAAATGTTTAAAACACATGACATCGTCCACCCTTGTCAAATGTAATAGCATGCATATGATCGTTTCAATTGTAATGCCTTCTTATCCAAATGTTACTTTGTTTCTTTGGTACCTTATTAGCGAACATTGAACTACTGTTCGTACTCTAAATATGGAAATCAATCACAATAGTCCCTAAACCAGATAATAATATGATAATGATAATTCATTTGTTCAATTTACGAGTTTGCTCACAGACTACTTTGATTGCTTATGATATGAGAATGCCTACGTGTTGGCCGGAAAGTAGGACTTTGGCTCATGCACTTGTATGACCATGTCCTTTTTTAGCAAAATTATTTTTTTTAATGACAAATAAGCTCCTCGAGCTAAATTGCAATTACTTAACAAAGACCTGTTGGCACTTCAATAAAGTTACAACCGTAAAACAAAGACACGACTCAGACATCTACAAGCTAATCTTATCACCACGATAACCATGGTAGCTATAGCGACAATAAAAGTGATGACGTCAAGTAAGTAATACTGATACCAAGGGATGTCGAGCACTTGAGGTCTGAAGTGCCGGGCTCCACCGTGTCTGAGAACATACTCTATCCAGTCACAGGTTTCTTGAAGCGGTGTTCGTCGGCGATCCTTTAACAGGCCAGAGATATGCATTGCCTTTGATTTGAATCTAAAAGGAAAGTGGAGAATTTGCTATTGGTAAATTATTTGGCCTGACCTAACAGTGAATCATGTTTAGGTCCAACAGTTAAACCGTGAGTTAAGCTTGATAGCCTTGAGCCAAGCAGTTCATGCATTTGCAATAATTGTGAAATAGTCAAAGTGCACTGTCAAATTACAATTGGCAAAACATTATTTACTCAATTACAACAGTAATGTAGTAACTGGTTTGAACCCAGGGGTATCAGTAGTTTGTCTCGTGTGATCGTCCGGGTGATAGTAAGTGTCGAAAAGAACTGTTATTGGTGACTGACGATTCGACAACCTGAGCGGAAGTCATCTTCAGAGTTAAGTGAATAGTGCTTGTCAGTTGATGATGTTATAAGTCTGGTCCGTTGAAAGTGATTGGTCAGTTTAGCCATGATGGTATTGGCCTTAAGACTCACTCACCAACAGCAGTTCTTTTCAGAACTACCCTCACCCTGACGATCACACTATACGAGCTACAACAGTAATATTACGAAACATTAGTAGGTATCTTTACCTTGGTTCAGTAATAACACGCTCGATTGTTTCAAACAGTTGCTGGGCATTACTGGTTTTATGATCCACTGCTAAACCAAGGCCAAAATGCGCTGCTTTCTTGGCATTACTATGCTGGTCTCCAAACAGAGGGAAAGTTACTAATGGAACTCCATGGTATGCTGATTCATAAAGACTGTTGTGTCCAACATGGGAGACAAAAGCTTTGATGTCCTTGTGAGCCAGTATATCATTCTGAGGTAACCAGTCCACTATTTTGATGTTTGCACCAAGGAAGGAAGGAATGTAGCCTGCAGGACAGGACAAAGCCACTTGATCTGTCTTCCTCAAATTCATAAATAATTAATCAAAATTAAATTACAGGCCCGGTCCACACAACGCCAAGGAAATTTGAAAGTGGAGGTTTCACTCTGAAAACACATCAAATGTTTTCCGTCCACACTACGCTGGAGAAATTTGAAAACGCAACGATCACCGGTCATTTTGGATTTGTGTTTGAGGAAACCTCGGGCAGGGAGGTCACGTGATCAGCGTGACGTCACACTTTTTCGAAAAGCTCCGTTTCCAATATGTTTATTCGTCCACACTAAAACGCCAGCGGGGCTAAAGACCCTGTCCACACTAAGCCGGACATTTGTAAATCTTGTTTGGACATCTGATCTTCATTAGAAAAGATTTTTACAACTTTCTTTCTCCGACCTCTCTTTAGTTTTAGCGGAGCCCCATACCTTAGAAAATTTGGTAACCCATCGATCTGAAAAATTTTGGTTGTCACGTGACTGTCCTTAAGTATGTACGTACGTACGTCCGTTCGTCCGTACGCCAATAGCTTGAAAACTAAGAGAGTAGCACCATTACCATAGTTACATCTTTGATTTTGGGCGTCCACGCTATTGTTAATTGATAGCTGTCACAACAAGCTATCCACTGACCAGTATCACGTGACTATATCGCGGGCTCAGGTTTAGAGCTCATCGAGGTTGCGTGTCAAGTCACGTTATTTCTCTGGGGGAGAAGGAAGGAGTACTCGCAAATTTCGGCGCAAATTAACCCCTGGCGCGTTGTTGACTTTTCTTCTGACATATTCCTTGTACAATCCTCTCTTGGAAAGTCCCTGATATATTGCGTACGTAATTTCTACAATCTTGGTTAGGCTTGTTGGGTATAGTTTGTTAAAATTTAACTGGAAAAAATAGCAAAACAGCACGCTGAAAAATTACATGCTCACAATTGATCATTTTTTGAGTTTCTGATCCAAGAAAAAAATAATTCTCTTTTTCCTTTATCGTCAGTTATTGCAATCAGGAGCTTCGCTTTCAGGCTTGGCTTGATCTATATATTAGTTTCGATTGAGAAGATATATCAAACAATCAAGACAGTGTTTGACCACATTCACTTCGAAGTTCGTCAGAAATACCGTACTCCGCTACGCGTCGAATTTTCAACTCTCCTCTCGATGTTTGGAAATGTAGTCAAACGTGGTCTTTCGTGTTTCACAGATCACGTAAAACTTAACAGAGTGAAACACTTGGTTTACTAAATGCTCAAGATTGAGCCTTCATACAATACATTTTGATTTTCGCCGACATTAAAACATATCGTTAAAAAAATGTTAAAAATCGACCAGCGAACAGACCGGCTGACGATCTAAAACTGACTGATTCACCGTTTTCCCTGGAGATAAAAGACAGAGCCTGGAAATGGAGTTGCCGACTGATTGCTTGATTTTATATATTACACTAATACCTTTGAGCCTCCACACAACTTTCTGTTTCAGCTTTCCAAATGCTACAGCTAGCATGTCTACCACCTTTCGTGAAAGAATTGAAGCCACGTTTGATCCAAAGGAAACAATAATAAAGCCATGGCCCCCTGAATTGCTGACAAATTTCTCTAATTCCGGAGGGAGGGGTCTACCATCTCTGACACTCAGTGGTCCAACCATAACATTGCCTGTTGAATATAATCCCAACAACTTAAGATGAAATGATGAAAACATGAAATGTTTATTTCTCACGAGCGTGGGCAAAGGAAAAAACTGAATCCTCAACAGATTCAAAATCCATGACCTCCCAGCCCCTAGCCTACTTTGCAGGCATTATTTTGGAACGGAATGCTCGATAGACTCAATAGACCAGGTTTTCAACACCGCCATCTTGAATTGTAATTGGATCCCTGACCGGTAGAGGGTTGGAGCAGAGAGGGGTGAAGGGTGGGGCAATTGAATTTTTCCTTCTCCTAACCCCTCGTCCAATATTTTAACTTCGCGCCTACTCCGTCGGCAAGTTTTCCCTCGCCCCAACTCCTCCACAGTTACCAAATCCGAGATGGCGGCCTAATATGAAAATGTGCACTTGCGCCCCCAAAATACCCCTGCACTGCAGGATACCCAGCCCCTCTCCAAGATATCGATTGGGTGCTCTCAAGAGAAAGCTCTATAGCTAACGACTTAGCTACGGAGAGCTAGGCTACTTGCTAGGGATGCCTCCTGTCTATGAACTAGGCCATTTACTAGGGCTACCTCATGCCTGTAAGCTAAACCATTTGCTAGGGCTACCTCCTGCCTGTGAGCTGGGCCATTTATTAGGGCTACCTCCTCCCTGTGAGCTACGCCATTTACTAGGGCTACCTACTGCCTGTAAGCTAAACCATTTGCTACGGCTACCTACTGCCTGTGAGCTGGGCCATTTATTAGGGCTACCTCCTCCCTGTGAGCTACGCCATTTACTAGGGCTACTTCCTGCCTGAGAGCTGGGCCATTTGCTAGGGCTACCTCCTGCCTGTTAGCTCGACCATGTACTAGGGCTACCTCCTCCCTGTGAGCTAAGCCATTTGCTAGGGCAACCTCCTGCCTGTGAATTGGGCCATTTGCCAGGGTTACCTCCTCCCTGTGAGCTGGGCCATTTGCTAGGGCTACCTCGTGTCTGTGAGCTAGGTCATTTACTAGGGCTACCTCCTCCCTGCGAGGTGGGTCATTTGCTGGGGCTACCTCCTGCTTGTAAGCTAGGCCATTTGCTAAGGCTACCTCCTGTTTGCGAGCTAGACTTTTACTAGGGTTACCTCCTGCCTTTTAGGTCGTTTACTAGGGCTACCTCCTGTCTGTGAGCTTGGTCATTTACTACGGCTACCTCCTGCCTGTCAGCTAAGCCATTTGCTAGGGCAACCTCCTGCCTGTGAGCTAGGCCATTTGTTAGGGCTACCTCCTGCCTGTGAGCTGGGCCATTTGCTAGGGCTACCTCCTGCTTGTGATCAGCTACGCCATTTGTTAGGTTGAGTATTTCATCTTTATCAATTCTGAGATTATAAAGTTCCAAATCGGTCAATGCACGTCCTTTGGTGTTCCAGGGAATTGAATTCCGTGGGAGGGGACTCCAATATGAAAAGAACGGGGTTCCTTCTCGAAAATTTTGAAAGGAACCCTTGAGAGGTACCAAGATCCTGCTTTGTGGGCGTGCAGTGGCTTGAAATTGTTTGCATTCCTAAGAGGCACCAATTTTAAAACAACACGTTATCCCCTGTCACATTTTTTTTTCAACTCAATACCCTGAAAGGTACTACAAAAGCTACTGCTGTGGACCTTTTGAGGCTGGACACTGGCCCTAAGAGGTACCAAAACCGCTTACGACGACGGTACAACGAGCAGCCCGGTCCCTTTTATATGATCTTCCCCCGGGGTCAATGTCCTGTTCCAGGGAACTGAGTTATCCAGTGACGTTAACCATTTCAACATTTGTGTATACATTACGCGTACAATGCCATGGAATGAACCACACAATCAGTGATACGATACTTGCTTTTCAATGAACTTTTCATACCTGGTAATAGAGGTTGAGGATACTCCAAAGCAAAATCTGCTGTAATTATAACCAGTTCAGTATCGCGAGCAGCCTGCAGGTAGCTTCTCTCAGGTTTGATGTTGTACTTGACTTTCAGAGCATTCATTGGTCTATCGATTGCAAAATGGACGAACAGATTTACACCAAGGTACACTCCAAAATTGATGGCACGTTCCACAAAAGTCATTTTGTCAGAAAATTCCGTAATTAGTTCTGAAACATAAGAGACAGGGAAGGGCATCGCGTGAAAATACGAAGCAAATAGGTTGTTTGGAGGAAGAGGCATAATCTCCACTCTTGGAATACCAAGGTGTTCACCAAGTGATACAGCGCCGAATGCAGCAGTGTCGTGAACTAAAAGGTCAAAGTCTTGCAGTTCTTCAAAAACTTCTGTGCTGTTTAATAGACCTTCACACATGGTAGGCATCACCTCACTTGCTTTCAGCATCAATTGTACTTTGTTCCCCTCAAGTTCAAGTCGTATCATTTCATCCAAGAAGTCAGGTGTACAAGGCACTTGGTAAATCTTGTGTGGCACTCTCTCACTGGGTTTGACTTTCTGGGTTGACGGCACAACCAGTACAACCTGATGGACATGCATAAATACAATACTAGAACTAAGAATTCCTTCCGTTTGCCCAACAGTGAGACAAACGTAGAGAAATTCTCACTCAGTTTTCAAAACCCCAAATTAGTTAGCTCTCTCAGCGCTGGGATTCAAAATGCCTTTAGTATTGTTGTGTTCACCTCTAAACTTAAGTCATCTTAGTTTTCTTGGTGTAAGTATGTTTTACTTCTCTTAGTGTGCTTGTTTGCTTTTTTCTCTTCGTTTGCTTTTGCGCAATCCCTCGTTTAGTTTTGTTTAACTACTTCTTTATTCTAAATTATGATCACTTTGTGTGCCGATGACAGCATTTTTATTCACTTTTGTCAAGTCTTGGGTATCTTTCGTATTTCTTCAGAACAAGAGGTATTCCTGTTAATGCGCTTTTTCTTTGCCTTGAATAACTTGTATTTGAACACGTAGTCCAAAAGTAGATTTCATACAAATATATGTAACGTGACGTGAACGCAAGGACTGGATGCGACATTTAATACCGTTGGTCATTGTCAAGATAAAAGAACATGTGTTGTTTCTATAGATAAAGACTTCTTAGTTAATAGTAACTACTAAAAGGATATATTTATAACAGTTATTTTAGAACAAGGCCGGGTTATGTGTACCATGTACCACAAAATTGTTCTGTTCTGCAATATAAGGCACTATGTTTTCTCTAAACATGCTAACTTACAGGCAGCCTCCACTACCTGTTAGGGAAACTAGTATTAAA